TTAACTGACATGTTAACGACGAAACTATTGGGTATAAGCCTCACTTTGAATTTGTTGAGAAATGGTGCTATCGCCGAAAATCGTGATCCTGAGGTATTGCCCAGTGCAGGGGGAAGGCCCGCGTATTACATACAAAAGAACAGATTGAACAACTTCGCGAGACTGGCATGAACTGGAGAGCCGTCGCGAAGCTTCTTCGGATAAGCGACAGTACATTGTTTAGGCGCAGAATAGAGTTAAACGTGGGTGAGACGTTCTCGCCGGTGGAGGATGAAGACCTGGATTGTGTGATTGCAGACGTTTTAACATTAACCCCATACAGAGGCGAAACCTATGCTAGAGGTGCCCTCCAGAGTCAAGGAATTTCAGTTCAGAGAGCCAGAATTAGAGAAAGTCTATTGCGCATTGATCCTGTTGGAAGGGCAATTAGACAACGACATCAAATTGTTAGAAGGACATACAATGTAACTTCTTCAAATTACCTCTGGCACATAGATTCTAACCACAAACTTATTTCTTGGAGAATTGTTGTTCATGGTTGCGTTGATGGATATAGTCGTGCAATTATCTACCTTCAATGTTGTACAGACAATAAAGCATCAACAGTTTTGAACTTTTTTGAAACTGGTGTTGGTCAATTTGGCCTTCCCAAAAGGGTTCATGGTGATCCGGGAATGGAGAATGTGGATGTTGCACGTTATATGATTGAGAACCGTGGTTTAAACAGAGGCAGCTATATAGCTGGCCGAAGTGTTCACAACCAAAAAATTGAACAATTGTGGGCAGAAGTGAACAGGGTCAGCTCAGCTCTCTACATTGATTTATTTCGTTTCCTTGAAGGTTATGGCTTACTAGATGCACTAAATGATTTACACCTTTATGCACTGCACTTTGTCTACCTGCCCAGAATAAGAGAATCACTACAAGAATTTCAAGCACAGTGGAACTATCATGGTTTGCGAACTGTTAATCACCAGTCGCCTATGGCTTTATGGCATGCAGGCATGTTAAATCAAAATCAAATCGACTTTGAAGGGGATATCACACATTATGGCACAGACTTTCAGGAAGCAATCACTAACATTCAGTCAGATAATGATGTTGTTGTTCCTGAATCTGCTATTGTCCTGACTCCAGAGCAAATGAGCATTTTGGAACAATCTATACATCCTTTGGAAGAGGATGGAAATTATGGAATCAATCACTACATGAATGCTTTGGAGATTATAACAAGCTTTAATTTGGACTAGGTGAACACATTTATACATAGAAAAAATTGACATCTTAGAGTTTAACAATTTATCCTTTTACAGGAAAAAAACTTTAATAGGGACATGTTTTTGAACTAGCATACTTTCTTCATGTCTTTAATAAAATTTCAATAAAAATAATATAAACCCAATAAAGCCATAAACATATAAACAATATAAACAATAAAGGCATAATACATCTAGTTGGATTTTATCTTACATTCCTTACAATGCAATGTTTAGGAATATGTATTATGTTTTGTTGTATAAACCTTTTTTGCATATTACATGCTATGCTTAGATATTATATGTATATAATAATATATAGTAAACCTAATAATTCTTGCAAGGTAAATCTATATACCAAATGACCATACAAAATTTCAACCATTAAGTTAAACATTCTTTACAGTGTCAACCGATGAGCACTAAGCTGTTGTAAATCCACAGGTTATTGTGTTCTTAATGATATAGTTAAACTGTTCAGCAAGTTCATTGTATGAATCATAGGTGGAGGGTATTTCCAATACTGGGCCACAAGTATGAGCAATTGGCCTCTTTTCTGTTCCAACAAGTTCCAGAAAGGAAACAGTTATGCACTCATGAACAATAACATCACTACCAGTTGTAAAAGCGAGAAACTGGTTCACACCACTACCCTCTAGGCTTCTAATATATCTCTTCAGATGGTCTAAACAGGCATGTTCAGCCTCGGTTGATGGATTAGCTTGGAGAAGCTTTACAATTCTTCTAGGTGTTGGATTCCTACTCTCATACATTTCTTTCAAACAACTTACAGACTGAAAGGCACTAAAGACCTGAAGGGCCCCTACAATACTTGAAAAACAATCGATTATATACTTAGGTTTTTGCAGGATTTCTTGATGAGCCAATTCATTTATTGTTTGGGAAATGTTGGCATTTGTTACATGTCGTTTGCACTTGTAGCTACTGAGGAATTCAAGGAGTTCCTCGTTGTCAGGGCTGATGTTACCAGACAAGGTTGCCACTAAGGTATCTCTTTCTTCAAATGAAATATAAAGCTGAAATGACTGGAGCAGAAAGTCATCTGACACACTTTCCTCTCCAAAGAGTACAGCACAAATAAATGCTGTAAATAAGCGTATGGGAAAATACCTTTCTCTAGCATATCCATAAACCAAAACTCGAGCAATAGCTTCCCAATGATTTTTCTGGTAATCATGCCTGATACTTGGGACTTTTTCATGGGTGCCAACTGTCAGTGAGTCAAAAACTTGCTGCCAAAAGTTGGTTAGCATATCTAACATTACACCCCGACCACTGCCCTTTTCTGCTTCACCATTGTCACCGATGATTGTCACATGTAAGTGGTATTTCAGAATACATGAATCTTGAAAGATTTCCACAACTTGATCTCTTATTTGCGATCTGTTTACTTTTATATTCTTGTGCTCCAAAATGTCATCATTTAGCTCTTGTGTATTATCAACTAAACAAATAATCAAATATATATGGTATGTTGAATGGCCAAATGAATTAAACATGATTTAAGACCAAACAAGTGACAATGTTAACATTTAATGTTGGCCCTGCAGGATTAGAGTTAATTAAATATTACATTTTACACAGTGGTGCCAGTGGTTTCTCAAAAATAATTATTACAATCTGCAGGCATTGAACCTACTGTACATGGAGCGCACAAGCACTAGTATGTAGCTACAATAAGTTATAAAAAACAATGTTTGAAAGCTATGGAATTTAATATGACACACAGATTCCAATTATCTCATTAGTGAATCATGCAATATTGAAAAGATTAATTTAGCCAAAGAGGAAGAGCTTTCACTGACATGCTCAAATCAATTTAAATATAGATATAATAAAACCTACCTATTTCTGAATTGTGGCTGGGCTAAGTTTGAAAAGATGGATCCAAATTACTTGGAAGCACATCAGCAGAATCTTTAGGTAAACTAGCTGACTCATCCTGGGATGTACTATCAGATTGGTTGTGTTCTGCTGAAGAAACCTGTGTGGAATCAGTTGTCTGGTTTGAGGGAGCAATGGTCAGCTGGTCATTTGGTGGGTCAGTTTGTTGGACCTGGGCTGAAGTGGATTGGCAGGATTCTGCCTGGCTCTGACACTTGTGATGGATATGAAATAGGTGGTTGAAAATCAGCTTCTTGCTCCTGAGGGGAATCAAAGTCGTCACTTATCTACAAAATATTTACAAGGGTATATATAATATATATTTTACTTTATATACCATGCATCCTAGCTCCTGCAGATATTTATATGTTTGCCTCTTAACTTCAAAGGATACTTTTCGATCCTCAGAAATACTTTGGTATCCCTTTAGAAAAATTCTCTAGAGCATTGTGTTGTTGCAATCGCTAGAAAAAGTAATAACAAAACACACACTATATCTACCAACCATAATTAATCACTATACCTGTCTGTTCCTTAGTGAGGACCAAGGCAACCTGTTTTGATCAACTATGTCTGTTGTAGGCCGGACATAAACAGGTTTCCCTTTAAATATGCGATGAATCATAACACCAATTAGCCCATTTTGGCCAGGAGAGCAAGGGTTGGTACAATTAGGGAACTATGAACAGACATTAGAATCTCAAAATCTGTAAGTGGTGGGATTTTGTCTTCAAATGCCTCTTTTACTGCCAGTTCTACCTGGCAAGCATTCCATTCTTTATAGAATTCAAAGCCTGAGAGTATGTGGCCATGCTCAGATAACCATATTCGGACACCTAGCCTGGGTACAATTCTGTCTTGGGGGCCAGTTAAGAGCACAACATCCCTCAAAAAGGGTCCAGTTGGCTGCTTGGGCTTTTTTGGTCTGCTTCCTCCATGTCTACTAGGCTGGGGCGGTTTATCGGTTAACCGATAAAAATCGGTTTTTTTTAATTATCGGTTTATCGGTTTTTCATTAAAAACCGAGAAAAAAAACCGAAATTACAAAAATCTCGGAAAAAAGTAAAAAAACTCGACAAATTGATCTTAATTTTACGGCGGATAAGCGCAGATCGAATCGAGTTATCGCGCATTTTGATTGGTTACGAAAAAGGCGGACGTCTGCGAAGACCGGGGACGGTGTGAGTCATTGCTAATTATAGATAGGTAGGTAATAAAGTTACCACTATCACTAGTAACTGTTGTATCATTCTCGAATCTCAATCACACAATCAAAGTCAAACGTTAGTCCTGCTCTTAGAAATTTAAATGGCGGCACGAAGTCCTGTGTGGAAATTTTTTGAAACGAAACGTGAATTACCAGACAGTGCTGTCTGTCAGATCTGTGTGAAAGCCGTCAAAAACAAGGGAAGCAACACGTCCAACTTGGCAAGGCATTTACAGAACAAACACCCAGTTCAATATGCCTCGATAAACCCGAAAAAACAGCTGAACAGTTGTTCTGCCTCAGCCGACAGTAAAGTAGAATCCCCGAGGCGCTCACAACCTACAGCAACAATTGAAAACCTGTTCGCTAAAGCTACGCCATTAGCCACCGGAGATCGACGTCATAAAGAGATCACAGATGCCATCACGCATTTTTTGTGCAAGGACAATGTCCCATGTAACGCTGTCGACAGGGCAGGCTTCAAACACCTCCTGAAAGTTTTAGAGCCACGATATCAGGTCCCGTCTAAGACCACCTTTTCGAAAAATAAAGTGGTTAAACTTTATGATTCAACCAGAGAGTCTGTGATGGCGGAATTAAATAGCGTTGGCTATTTTTCTGCAACAGCAGATATGTGGTCATCCCATGGCCTAACCCCTTACCTGGGATATACTCTACACTGGATCGATGACGACTGGAACTTGAGAACAAGAAATCTTGGTACCAAGTACGTTCCAGAAGACCACACAGCTGCCAACATCGCCCGTAGCATGAATGACACGCTGCAGCACTGGAAACTCGACGAAAACAATCAAGTTGTCATCACAACTGACAACGGCGCGAATATCAAGAAAGCGTGCCAACAAAACAAATGGGTGAACATTCCTTGTTTTGGCCATAATCTTCACCTTGCCATAACGAACACCTTAGCTAAAGAACCGAAGTTGTGTCGCGCAATGGGGGTTTGCAAAAAGGTGGTATCGGCATTTGGGACAAGCTGGAAAAGACGACGAGATTTACAAGCCGCTCAACTTCAAGACGAGCCAGAAAAGAAGATAAAAAAGTTAGCGTCGGTAGGTAAATGATACAAGGCACTAATCACAGGCAATCTGTTACATTCCTATTTAACATCTCATCTCACAACTATTATATTTTCTCAATACTTGTAGGAATGCCCAACACGATGGGGTTCAACGCAGCGAATGATAAGCCGTGTCCTGCACAATAAGAGCGGAATAAGAAGAGTGCTGGGAGGCGATCGTGAAACTTCGCACCTCGTCCCGACATGGCAAGACTTAGAAGTTTTGGAATGTTTAAACAACGCCCTGTCGCCGCTAAAGGATTTTACCGACATTTTATCCGCAAGTTCCTATATCACGATAAGCGTTGTTAAACCAATCTTGCACCGTTTGTCCACCGTCGAGTTAGCTACAAAAGATGAAGATCTTCCATTGGCACGTCAGCTAAAAAGCGAAATTCTTCGGCGCTTGAAGTCAAGATATCAGGCAGCTGATCTCCAGCGTTTGCTGAACGTAGCGTCATTTCTCGATGCCCGGTACAAAACCGACTTCATGCTCAACAACGTCGACAACGAGGAAGGGGATGACGAGCCATCGCAGGTTCAATTTGTGAAGGAAGAGCTTCTTAGCCAAGCCGTTTTTCTTAATGAATCCTCAGCTGCAGATGACGAGATTTTGCAACCACCCCAAAAGAAAGCTAAGTTGAGCCTCGGAGCGCTGACCAGCTTAAAACAGCCAAAGATATCCGCTTCTTCAGCACAATCACCACGCCAGCGTTTAAGCCGTGAAATTGAACAATATTTGAAATACAGTGTAATTGACGGTGATGAAAACCCTCTTGAATGGTGGCGAAGAAATGAACGTGAGTTTCCGCTATTGAGCCAACTTGGCAAAAAGTATTTGTGTATTCAAGCTTCGAGTTCACCATCAGAACGTCTTTTCAGCAAGGCTGGACTTATCGCAACTCCAGCAAGGGCAAATTTGAAGCCAGAAAAAGTAGACATGCTTGTGTTTTTGGCCGAAAACCTGTAGACACTATAGTCTGATTTTGTAATTTGTATTTCTATTAGATTTTTATGTAAATATCCGTAAGCCAAATTTTGAATTCTTGTAAAATATTTGAATATATCATGTTAATACACCACGTGCGACGTCTTTGTTTTGAAAGATCGGTTTGTCGGTTTTTATCGGTATTTTTTATTCGGTTATCGGTTTCGGTTATTTTTAAAAACCGCCCCAGCCTAATGTCTACCTTGGAAATTTCTTCTCAAGCCGAATAAGGGGCCAGAATTCTGTGACCTTTCTTGTGGTGTAGTGATTGCTCTGACCCGAGGGACAGATGATGGACGATTAAAACTTCTAGATACCTCTTCTTGCACACTCTGCATGGAAGTTTGGGTCTGATTATTGGTGCTTGTTCTGGGAGAAGGTTGACTGACTTGACTCACAGCACTGCCACCAGTGTTGTTCCTCTGGTTATTAAGTGGGAAAACTGCATCAGATAGTTCTTGCACACTACCAATAATCTCATGCAAAATATTGTAGGGTGGGCTTGCCATAACTACAAAGAGAAATGCTTTGTTACACAAAATTTAATACCTTTTTGGAGTGTGCAAATTTTGTAACCGAATTTGGAGCACAACTCTGTATGTAAATTCTATCATCTTTGCACATAAATTAATCAGTTGTTTAGCTGAGCTTGGACAATCAATAGTGACTATTAAGACTATTAAATGTGAAAAAAGAAAACTACAAAACTACATTCTTCAACACTAGGTTTTATATATCATAGACAGTAAAAAATAGACGAGTTTCTTTAATAATTTTTGTGCACACCAAATATTCTAACAAGTCTTGCTTGGTTAATTACGATTTCTAAAGCGCGAATAACACATTTAAATGAATCTTTTTAATTCTTAATGCATCCCTCACCTTAATCATAAATGAAGACGCAAAAACAAAATGACTGAAATGGCGGGATCTGTTTGGTTGTCCACCATCTTTTGGCTGTCGCGCAATAGAGGCCTGGGTACGAACTCAACCATCACTTTTTTTTCTCGCCTATCGATTTTCATTTTGCAGTTGTTACTTTCGGTATTAGGTAAATGTTACTTTTAACACAATATTTTAGAACTCTCAATATTTAATCTTTTTATCTTGACCAGTATCTTTTCTTTCTCGACCATTAAAACTTTTCTGGACCCGTTAATTTCATAATTGAATAGTAAGACCCTAAATCTCAACTGTTATTTATTTAATTTCAACCAGCAGTTTTCATTAATTAATACTTTTGACACGTTTGGCATGCCATAGAAAAGCAAACTAGTTGCACAGTTTGACTTTCAGAGGTTTGCATTTGAGAATCAAAATATTTTGTGTTACCATTTGCAGCGGTATTGACGTCACTCAAAATATGAACATGTCCTTCTACTGTTTCAGAATCAGCTAAACCAAATCATAACATTAAAATATCTTAGGTCAATAGGTTAGGTCATGAGCATTTTTAAAAAAAGGCTTTTATAAATTACTTTAGAAACACAATGACTGTGAAACAAGAAAGACCAACATTGCAACCTCAGTGGTGTAATGTATACGACGAGTTTTAAGTGGAGTTGCTTGGTGGCACAATATTGGGACTTATAAAGGTATTTTTAAAATTCTATAATAAAAATATATTTACTTACAGTGTTTGGTTGACTTTGATGTTGTTGATGCCATTTTGCAGGTTTTTTACTGGAAAAGAACCAGAAAGAACAAAGGAACAAATTGACGTGTAATTTTACTATTTTAGTGAACTGAACGGATTATCGACAACATTTTAAGCTGGCTGTAAAAAGAATAGTTGAATAATAAATAATTAATAGCCATGGACGAGGGGTGAGTGGAAAATATTACATACATTTTGTACATTTTATTGTGAATTCAATACGGTGGTATTTGATGGGTGGATTTCAATAGTTATGAATTAATGCAAGGTGGTATTAGTAAAAATAAAAAAATTAGCGTATGCAGGGTTATAAAAGTTTTATATTGAAATTTATAAAAGTTACATGATTTAATATTCTTATCTCTGCTTACCTTTTTATAGATAGTGTTCTTGTTAGTAGGAATACTGATGATTCAATAGTGTAAATTAGTTTTTCAATATATAGATAAAATGTACATTTTTTCATCAACCAACATGTCTTTTGATGCTGATTGCTAAGTGCCCAATCACTGATAACTTTTGACAATGCCAACTAATCCAACTAATAATAATACTTTTTAATTACCAACTAATGAAAAACCATTCAGCAATGAAGTAAAAAGCAAATTCCGAACAAACAAGACATCTTGAGAATCAAAATATAATTCAAACAAGACACAGATTGAGACTGTAAATTTTCGACTTTATTACAGTCATCTTCAGACAGAATGAAATACAATACTTTACAACGCATATATATATACAACACAGAGAGAGAGCGCACGTGTCAATCCAGCATGTAGGCGGAAGGCCGGTAAACCAAGCAGAGCGAAACATGATAAGGTTGTGAATAAAACTAAATATGTATGCTATATTTACAACAATATGTTAGATAGATTAATTTAAGGAAAAAAAGACCCGACAATTAAAATAGAGAGATTAAGTGAACAGTTGTAGTTCTTTGCTGGGTTTAAGTCCAGTGTTAAGGAAAGGTTTGTTGTGTTTGATTAAGAGTGCTTCAAGAAAGGTGAGAATATGATAGTTATTCGATTTAGTTATGTGTAGAATTCTATAGTTATTGAAAACTAAGTTCTCAATAGGAGAAGGGTTATTCAAAGATAATGGTATATCGTTGAGTAGTGAGAACTGGTTTTGTAGTGTGGCTAAGAATTGAGAACTACAACTGTTCACTTAATCTCTCTATTTTAATTGTCGGGTCTTTCTTTCCTTAAATTAATCTATCTAACATATTGTTGTAAATATAGCATACATATTTAGTTTTATTCACAACCTTATCATGTTTCGCTCTGCTTGGTTTACCGGCCTTCCGCCTACATGCTGGATTGACACGTGCGCTCTCTCTCTGTGTTGTATATATATATGCGTTGTAAAGTATTGTATTTCATTCTGTCTGAAGATGACTTTGTAATAAAGTCGAAAATTTACAGTCTCAATCTGTGTCTTGTTTGAATTATATTTTGATTCTCAAGATGTCTTGTTTGTTCGGAATTTGCTTTTTACTTTACTTTCTTAAATTGTCGGCTGGTCATGGTTTTTTGTTTTTTTTTTTTATTCAGCAATGAGGTTACATAATAAGCCTGGAAGCCAATCAGAGAGTCACTTAAAATAATTTTGCCGTAGTGTTCAGCCTTGTGTCATATTTTGAGTGTTTTGGTCAAAATTTTACCTGCAGTCACTGTCTTTTCCCTGCCGTTCTATACTTTGACAACTGTTAACATGGAAGCTAATCCTCAGCTGGCTTTCTTTGGAGATCAAAACAGTCTCTTCGGAGATTCAAACAAGTATTAATACCGAAATCTGTTATAATTGACCACCAGGAAAATATACATAACATTGTACATTTATATCGTACCCATGGCTATATTAATACATGTGAGTGTATCATTTCATATCACTGTGGATGTAGATGAATTGCATGAAAAATAATTAAAGCAAGTGCCAAGCGATCTAGAGACTGTGCACCTTCCAGATTACCTTTATGGAGAATTATATTGGCTATGAGAAAGAAAAAAAATTAAGCATTTTTGTTCCTAGGTCATCTATTTTAATTGAATAAGATAGTAATTTCAAGCAATGTTGTTTTCAGTTTGTGCATATGTAACATATTTGTAAGCCCATGGCTGTTTTAAGCCCATGTGCTCAGAGCTTAGTTGATAAAAACATCTATACAGCAAAACCAGTCATTAGGAATATTTTCTACAGTCAATACATTTTAGGTCCCAGTAATTATGATAATTTTGTCAGGGGATATTGAAAGGAATCCTGGTCCTAGTCTATCAAATTTAGTGTTAGAACAAAGGTTAAGATGATTTCAGTTAATGCTTACTTAATGTTGGTGACTGTTTCTTTTGAGCTGTGTCACATCAGTTATATGGTGACCCTGGGCAACACTTGAAGTTAGAGCAGCTGGTATTGCATATTTGAGAGATAACCCTGAAAGATTCATTGAAAGTAATACTGAAAATACTTGGTTAGAATACCTCAATAATATGTCTATGCAAAGGACATGGGGTGGACACCGCAGAAATTGGTGTTGGAAGTCAAATATCTCATCAGTTGCTCACATTTGAATCCTAGTATTCAGAAACTGCGGTCAAAGAAAATACTATCAAATAAGTTGAAAACAAGTACAATTTTTCTTCCAATATCGGTTTTGGAAACTTTTGAAGGCTCTTCGTATGCATCTGCCACCGTAAAATGGCCATTTTGAGACATTTTCAGATGATTTGTTTTTGCCGTGTGCAAGCTTCAAATCTTTTGTGCAAGCTTCAAATCTTTTGTGCAAGAGATATTTTGTTGAGTATTTATAAATCTTTTAGCTTGCCGAATTTAAAGTCTAAGTATTGAGAATTACGGCTAAGTCTACCAATTTCCGCGGTGTCCATGGGGTGGTGCTATGATTATACAAGCTGTAGCAGACCAGCTTAAGTTAAAAATTATTATTGCTGAGACACATGAAGGATTTAGTGAATACAGTATAATACAACCAGTTTCATCAAGATGTCAATTAATGAATGTCTATTTGGTTCATATAGATATGAGTACCACTATGTTTCACCATTGCCATGTACTTAATCCAAGGTGCCTGCTATAATGCATTAGTTACAAGTAGAATTGTTGAGATAAGCTCTAAACAGCCAACCAAAAGCTCTCAGGCTAAGCAAGTGAGAACAGAATATACTAAAGAGTACATGAAAAGAAAGCGAATTATTTACTGATAGGCTAGAGGAGCTACTTCGCTTTCTCAATCAAAGGAAATATGATGTCTTTATTTTGGGTGATATTAACCTAGACCTCTACAAATATGCAATACACAATCTATCTG